TATGTATGTATGTATGTATGTATCCTTGCACTTCCCCTTTGCTCCCCAGTATTTCCCGCAAAAAAAAACACGGTTTTCCAGCGTTTTCGCAAAGAGGACGTCCAAAAACATTGAGTTTTTCCAGATTTTCGGCAAAGGATGCAGGAAGCCCAAGCCAGCAAAAAAGCCGGCAGGGGGAATCGAGCCTGGGACCCCTGTTTTGCGACACCGGCTCCCCGAAGACTACGTTTAGTGGAACGTCATCAAATTGCCGCGCGGTACGTGGGGGACCCCCCCCCCAAAAAAAAACCTACGTAATAGACGTCGGGCGGGGGGGGGTTAGGGGGGGGGGTTATCCTCTATCCTCTAGTAAGTATCCGACACGCCGAGCAATGTCGGCGGACATAGTTGCGGATATCCGCCTTCCTAATTCTTTACATGATTCTGGGTGGACCATTTTAATACAGGTTTTGATTGTGACTCAAGTGACATTTTGGGGGTATGAGTTCCAGTGGAAAGGGGTGGCATGTACCACGGAAAGACCCTGTTTTCCAATCCCTTAAAGCGTAGGACTCTGAAGCTGAGGCGGAAATGGGGGCCCGGGTCGCCAATTTGCGAACCAGACAGGAGGTTTTTTGCTGCTTTTGAGGCCCGGGAGTAATTCCCATCAAGTGAAGATTTCGAGGAGTTCTCATACGGTCTCTAAATTTATTCCCCCCCCCCCCACAGTTTGGGTGGTTTCCTTTTCGTTTTGCTTTGACAAACCAAGAGGGGTTCCCCTCAAAGACACGCCCCTGATGGTAACTAAAACGGACCCAAGCGATTCGGGAGGAAGAGAACGGCCGACTGCATTTTTCGAAGGTGTCCCTTCTCAACCCGGGAGTTCCCGGGTTTCACACTTGGGGTCGGATCATAGTCAGGGTTCTAAAAGAATGGCAAGCACCCAATTTAGATAATGTACCAACTTGTTCAGGGTATGATGTTAACCCCTAAAGAGAACATGGCGGAATTCAACCATGCAAAGCCAGGCTTTGCCAAACACACCCTTAAGAAAGTTGGTGATTGTTTGGAGCAGGTGTATGCACAGTTTTGCCGGTTTGAGACTTCTTTTGGGTTTGCGGATCAATCGGGGATTCCACACACAAGGTAACTTACTAGGGGAACGCACAACCCTCGTTTTTCAAGATTCTTCTGCGATGTCCGTTGTTTTGGCTTGCCATGGCGGCTACCAAAAAATATAGCTTCCAGGGCACACACACACACACGGATCCTTTGGTGTGCACCCATGTGGGGGGAGTATCCAGAATCCGTTTGACACCGGATACTGCCGAGTCCCTATTTTTCCTTTCTTTTTTGTTGCAAAGATCCCTTGGACCCGCCGTTCTTGCGATCATTGTCCAGCAAGCTGTGCCTTGCTTGTCGGCTAGGTCTCAAATCTATTGGACTGCAAGATCTCGGTTCCAAGGTGGTGCAACCTTGGGAAGTCGACCTTGGGGAATGTCCTCAGGGTCCGTTAGCTTGCGAGGATGTACCAAAATGACCCTCTTCACATACTTGTGGGTGTGTTGTTGTTGAGGGTGCTCGTTGAAGGTTGAAAGGGAGAACAAAAGGAAACCAAACCCATGGAGGTCAAATTCAACCAGCAGGTTGTCCACCCACAGTGCGCGCCAAGGTGAACAAAAAGAAGGTCAAGGTGAAACAACACGGGTCCAAGGTGAAAAACCAAGGGTCCAAGGTGAAAGAAAGAAGATAAAAGGTGAGAGAAAAAAGGAGGGTCCAAGGTGAAAAATCAAAGGGCCCAAGGTGCGAAATTCAGGTCCAAGGTGAGAAGGAAAAGGGTCCGAGGCGAAATAATATGTTCAATGTTCGAGTCGGCCGGTTGCAGTTCAGCCATCTGGATGGCTCAGGGCTTTCAGCTCGCGTCAGGTCTCCCCTGCGCGTGCCGGGCGGCCGTGCACCAGGCGATTTGGCCTTCGGAGGAGGCTCGGGTCGAGTGAGGGAGATGCGGATGTGTCACCATTCGTAGTTGAATTCCTCACTATCATGGTTGCTGTTGGGAAAGATTGGAATCATTTTTGCTTATTGAATGTGGTTTAGTGGGAAATCCCCGCTTGAATCAATGGAATCAATGGAATCAATGGAAACAATGGAAATTCGAGAATTACCTATAGGAGATCAATGGGAATGACCTGAATGGATCGAGCCAAATTCATGGTTGTTGTTGGGAAACATTGGACACATTTGTGCTTATTGTGGTTTAGTGGGAAATTCCCACTTAACGGCTAACAATTAGATCTTGGCTCCCCTTCCAACGTCAACTAGCGTGAGCAGAATCTTGATAACCATCTTAGCCCCTTCAACCTTCCCAGTGTTTTGCATGTACCTGTATAGTCTGTATAGTAGGTATCCAAGGGAACAGCCCTGTAAAGACCAACATGACATGGTTGGCTATGGGGAAACTGGGATCCTGAATGGGTTGATCCGGTTTTGAACCCATTCATAGTTGAATTCCCCCCAAGCTGAAAATGGTTGGATCCACTACTAGGTTTCCCCAGTAGTGCCCTTTTACTTTTTTTTTTTTTCTGGGGGAGGGTTCCCCCACAAAAAAAGACTACAAGAACAAAGGGTACCCTTATTCTATCCTCTCTACTGGAGGACCTAGACTAGGATTCCAGTTTTGAACTTTAATTCACAGTTGAATTCCCCAGCCCAATCTGAAAATGGTCGGATCCACCAGCCTGGATCCCTCGCTGCATCGCTCGCCAGAAGCAGCTCTTCCAGATGCCCAAGCCGCCCGCGCCGCGCCCGGCTAACCCGGGCTCCGCCTACTGCGTGGTCTTGCGCCTGGCCCAGGGAATTCCCCGGTTCGTGTTGTTGGGCAAGGGGGGTTCCCTTCAAGATCAACCAACATAATTCAATAAGGTTGACCCGTCATGCACCAAACCCTTCATTAAAATGGGGGTGTCCCTTGGTTGAGTGGGGATTCAGATCACTTTTGCAAGGGAACACCCCCATAAACAGGGTTAGACTCATCCGGGGTCAACCAAAACCGAGGACGGCCACTGGGTGAACGTGGCATCCTCAACATGTCCTTTATGGTGGTTGATCCCGTGGCCAAACGTAATTTTGAGAAGCCTCAAAACCTAACTTAGAGGCACCCAATTACACACCCCTTTGGTGAAAACAGTAGCCCCAAGGCGGCAGATCGGCCGCGCTGTTCTGTAAAGCTTACCAGGCTTGGGGGCAAGTTTGGTTTAAACAAGGACCCTGGTACCCCTTCATGGCACAAATTATAAAATGGTACTAAGTAGTGGTAACAAACGTAGCTCTGAGTGGCTGCACAGGATGCCAACTCACGGGGAGTGTTCAGGGCACCTGTTTTTCACCCAGTGTAGGACTTCAATATGTATTTGCTTAACGTCAATGTCCATTTCCTCAAGGGCCCCCTTGCCACCTTGATGTACTTTGACCTGTCTTTTTGCGTAAGTACGTCCTCAGAAGGTACCAAGGGGCCCTGTAGGTGAGCTGAATGTTCATTTGCTGTTTGTCAGACTCATCCCCCTTAGTACAGGCTAGTTGGAAATGGCCCCAACCCAAACCTGCGACGGCCTTTGCAATTTCTGTTTCTTGGCATTTGTCAAGTCGGTGCTTTTAACAGACCTTGACTTTGCTCAAGGCATCACATACACATAGGCAGAACTATTCGCAGAACTATTTGCTGGAAACTCGGGGGGAAAATCACCTGAAGCAAAATGGGTGTGCCTTTCTTTCTGGGACCAAAGGAACACCAACCCCCCACTCTAAATACCCACCTTGTTATTTAAGCTTGAATTTGATCAACAACTGTTCACTCATAGGTACATGCCTGTTATGTCCCCCGCCCCCCCATTTTGTGCTTGGGTTTCTCATTTCTTTGCCTTTCCTTTCAAGGATGCGGGCCTACACCTATGAGACCCAGTTGCTGTCTATGCAGTTCCGGCAGAAGCAGGGGGTCTTTGGGTGCGCGGGCTGGGACGTCTTCAGCAACCAGGACTCGATTTGATGAATTGGGCGATCCTGTGGACATCATTTACCCTCAACCTGACGTTCGGGGGGTCCTGGTTGAACCACATTCCTTTGTTTTGGGACGCCCGGGCCCCCTGTCACCGACTTTGCTGCTCAGGCTGCGGATCGGTATAGGGACCCCCGAGCGTCAGGTTCCATGTGAATTGGTGGGCATTGGCTCGCCCGGGATTTCTGGCTCGCCACTTAGTTTCAGACCATTGGAGCGCCTCCGATGTGGGGCTAACATTTCTAACGGCCCACAAAACGTGCTGGTGCGACAAGTCGGGAACGAGGGAATGAACCCAGGAATTGGTCCTCTTAAAGGAACCGCCAGTTGGACGGTTTTTCTTGGGGTCATTCCATTTCTCATTCCCTGCCTATCGCACCGTTTGAAGACCTTGACAGGAGCTTTTCCTCCAGATTACCTAAGGCCTGACAGAGCATACTTTTGCCTTGGCTGGTTTGTTGGGGTAGGTCGCCACGAAGCCATGAGTTTCATTTGTGGCTTCATGGGAACAACTTTCTTGTGCTTCTTCGTCGATCGCAGAAAGTCAAGGAATCGCCTCACGAGACCTGGTGGAATGGCGGCATTTTCCGCAAATCAAGCTTGCCGACAATCCCGGCTAGTCCTTTGACTGACATGAGTACCTTTGTTTTTTCGAAGCAACTGAACCACTACTGGGCTGTCAAGATGATATATGGTGTCTTCACCGGTTGACTCCACCGACTGTCCAAATGCCGTCCCGGCAGTGCGGCGCAGAAGCTTTTGTTTCCAGAGTCACCAGCCTTGGATCCTCCCTTCCGAGATGTCTTGTGGATTCGGAGGACGGGCGCTTGCCGCGCACCTCCTAAAAGCTATGCAAGTCCCCACTGAACCTACGGCTGCCAGTGATGACTGCAGAGAAACCACTGCCAGTAGCATGACCCAGGGTACATCTTTGATCAGCGCAACAGCAAAAACCTGGACCCATCTACATTGCACAGTTGGTACCACCATTCGTACTCTGGATGAGCAACATCCAGCACCACCGGAGAATTCCTGGAAGGATGATTCCCCTCAACACACGTGTGTAAGAAATCCAGTGTGTCGTGAGAACGGGACGAACAGCCTGATAAATCCTTGTTTTCAGGATAGACTGAAATTGATGTAATCCTGCTGGGGCACCTGCTTTCTGAGCGTGTCAAGCCAGCTGCTGAGTTAATTCACTTGAGTCACACCACCCAGGTTGGCAGCTTGGACCCCTCAGAAACTGTCCTCAAGGGTACCAAAGCGCCTTTTGGCTATCTCCAAGTGCCTGCCATCATCCCAAAGGCCTATGAAAGTAAGGCCCCAGAAAGTGTGCCAAATGAAGCACCTTTGGCTTTGGCCATTGAGCAGCTGGCCACTCCTAAATGGGAAATCACCAAACGCAACCTTAGGGCAATATCCGATGTTTCACCCCCTAATATCTAAATAAAGGCTCTCACAAAGTAAAAGTTAGTCACTTTTAGCCAGGGATCTGAAAACAGACAGCCCAGGCGCCCTGGATGAGCGTCCCAAGAGGGACCATTTTGAGGAAACTCCAGCGCTGGCATGTGGGTAGCGAGGGAAAACAATCAAAGCCCAGGGGACCTGTTGGGGGTGTCTTTGTTTGAGGCTCGGCACCCTTTTCATGGCTTGAAAGGGACCCCAACAAGGACAACTCCATCTTGAAAACCTGACATGCATGTTTAGCCATTGACCCCTGTTTCTTTTAGCCACATGTTTTCTTTCACAAAGCAGTGCTTTTAGGGGTTCCCCCCCCAAAAAAGCAACAAGCAACGCCAAGCCATGGATTGAGGCGCCGAGCTCCGTTTTTTGCGTTTGTTTTCTTCAGGAGATGGTGCTGGCTGAGGGCTTGGCCACCAAGTTGGTGCGCTCCAGTCAGATGTGCGAGGTGGGCGGAGAGCTTCTCGGATCGAAGGGATCGTCGAAAGGGCGCTAGATCCCCAGCTAGGTGCCCTTCTCACCCTCTTTTTTGGTTGGGGGAGGGTTCCTCTACTAAAATAGAGTACAGAAAAAAGTGGGTACCCTTATTCTAACCTCTCCACTGGACCCAGATGGGATGTTGTAAGCCTTTAGTGAGAGGTGGAACCTTGAGTTGAATCAACGGGACAAATCAACCATGTGAGAGGTGGAGCCTTAGGTCCCATAGACTTTGAACTGATTTCGGGTAAGCCTCAGGGCCTCAGTCGGGTGGTTTAGATTGGTCTTCCCATTTTAGATAGCGAGCTCACCGGATCCGAATCGGGGGAAAAAAGCGAGCGAAGGCCATGGTAAAGATCCCGGATGCTTGGGGATTTCCAATTCTTAATTCAGCTTTGGAGGCCTGGCGTGTGAGGTTGAGGGTTTGGTTGGGCCTGTTGGTTTTGTATGGGCTGTGGGGCCGTGTATTGTTGGGATTATAGTAAACAAATGCAGATTGGTGGTGGGGGTTTGAACCTCTGGCTTTTGTAGAGGCAAACCACCAGGCTCCAAACATTTGGAGGGAAGCCGAGATGCCGGGGTTGATCCATATTCCCGACAAGGCCCCCCCAATTGACTATGCGCAAATTTTACTCTGAGATATGTCAAACATATTTTGTGTTCTTCCGCGAAAATGTGTCACGTTCCTCGGAGCTTTTGATGGTTCATCCAGGTGCCTCGGACAGGCCGCCTGGATTGCTGACGGCCCTTTGGGTTGATAGGGTCACTTAAGAACCCATGTAAGATGCCTCTAGGGGGGGTCCTGGAACCTCAGGCGGTCCTGGAACATCCTTTGTATTTGTTCCCGAACAGCTGAAAGCTTTGGGGTCTCAGATAGGCTGCGGGGTGGTCCGGGGCGACCCTGAGGTAAGGTTCCACGAGGGTTCCAGGGTTCCACCAGGGTTTCACTAGGGTTCCACCACAGTTCCACTAGGGTTCCACGAGGCTCTGCAAGGTTCTGCAAGTGCTGCGGGGTGGTGCGAGCACTAAAAGGAGCACTGCATGCTGTTGGAGATATCACCTGAGCTTATGTATTTGTTTTTTTGGGGGCGTGGAATGTGGAATGTGTGTGTTCTGCATTGGCGCGGGGCATGGGGGAGAGTGCCACAACCCTGGTTTTGTTGAGGGAATTCTCATGTTGGCTTTCCACAACCCTTGTTTTTCAGCAGAGGTCAAGCCCTCAAATAGAAACGGCAAAGACCTGAAATCAAGGGGTCAAACACGTTGCAGGCCGGAAAGATCGCCAAACCGCAATGGGGCGTGGCTTAAACCAGCCCACAAATATGGCCTTTGCTTTTCCCCGTTTCCCTTTAAACCAACCCTCACTTCCTGAGTTCATGACCTTTGAACTTTTTGGGAAGACCATTTTAGTGGCAAATATACAGTTTGGACTTTTTTTGGGCCATCCACTCAGCAGGCGAGTTACAAGAAGAGTCCAGACCCAAAAGTAGA